CTGAGATGTCAAGCCCCAGCTACTCTGATAACTTGCCAGTTTAGCAGAGTTCAATTAGTTGGGGGCAGCCTAAACCCTGTAGACTTTGGCATCTTGCCCATGGCTGCACACATTTTAAACCACAACTACYCTGCCTTCTGCAACAGTGGATAAATATCACAGCTGCGGGGAAATAATAAGGGTAAGGTTTCCAAAGCTGACAGACTTTCTTTGACAACAGTGTTAAAAGGTTTAAGTGGGTTCAGATACTCCAGTGCCAGGCCCAGTAAAAAAAAATTGCTAGAAAGAGAGAAGAAAGGGATCACTGAGGAGAGGAAATAAGGAAGTGGCTCAGCAAACGGTAACATGTAACACTGACTGAGAAAGATTTAGTAAGATTCGAAGAAGGGTTTGATGGTTATCACCTAACCCAATCAAAAGGATATAAAACCTTCTAGTGCAAGGCAACCTTTAAACATTTGATGTTAAAATGAACATTTATGAAGGGACAGACTAGGGAGTTTCTTGTAACTTGATTGTTAAGATCTGCTGAGCTCATTACCAACGAAGACATAATTTTACATGGGCCTTAGATTATCCACAATGTAATCATATAATGCTTTAAATTTTTAATATTTTTATTGTTATGAATCGAAAAGTGCTAAGTGGGAATGGGGCAAGATGTGAAGCAAGGATTATTTGCAATATAAAAGAAAAATGCTGAGAAAAAAAAGATTAAATTAATGCACTGAAATGGGACAGAACATTGAAATTGGGAGGAAATAGTGGGTAATTAATTATTTGAATTTCGAATGTTTTAGATGTTGTCACGTCATTTGAATGGCTCCCAGTTTGATAAAGGTGGCCATTCATTTTTTCCCATCACCACCACACCRTGGGTAGAAAAAGACTTCTGCATCTGTTGACACACCATTCTTTTACATTTCTTCCTAAGCTTCCTCTTTCTGAACTGKCCTTGTAGGTAAATTCACATGCATGGTGCAAGTAGTCTGATCACTGAACCAAATGCTTTGCAAATTAGGCACACATCCCTACCTTGATGAATGAGAAGATAATAAATAAAGMTTTTTGTTAGGACAGTTACAGAGTAGACCCTTCTGTTTCTATCATTATCCTTACTCAAAAGACAAGTAACTCATTAGAAATTGAATTAGCAATGAGAAACTGAGGACCTGATCATGGTTTTGATGATGATGTGCCATCTGACACCAGAAATTAAATAGCTTTCTRAATGTCAGTTCTCTCATCACAGGATGGTAACAGTTCTGTGTGAATCATGTCTCTATTAGGAGATRTAACAAAATCATGCTATGAAAGAGTCGTGTGGAAAGTGTTAAGGTAAATTATCAGTTGGGGCAGGATTATAAACTGAGCTGCAGACAGCACTGCTCCAAGGGGAGCTGTTCCCCCTCCTTCTTCTATCTGTGCTATACCTAAAATTCAGTGACCTCCCTGTACTGGCAAATACAGTTTTACTACTAATTTTAGTTTTTAATAGTAAGCAAGGTCTGGTTGCAATCAGAATTAATAAATAGATTTTATTCCCTTATCTTTTACACTAGTCTTTGAAGCCTTTACAGCATCCCCTTGATGAACTTTAGTTAATATTGGTATGCCAAAAATATCTCTCTGGAGTAACTCTAGAAAATGCCTACATTTAGACTGTCCATGTGAGAGAACAGAATTTGCCAGCAGCACTTCAGAAGAAACCCACAGCTGCTTCCAGGATCCCCCCCAAAATAAGCAATTCTCAAGCACTTATGTAAATATTGATAAGCCCAGGACACTGCCTCCAGATGTGTGATCCCGGGAAACAGCAGAGTCCAAAGTCAGACTGAGTCCTCTCTTCCCAAGCTCCAGTTTTCTGGCAGCACATCACCAGTAGATGCAGATTGCCAGGAGACCTGCTCAGCAATTGATTCAGCGACTATCTGTAGTTATGGGCTCCAGAAAGCTTAGTTTTCTTCTAGATCCTTTGGCAAGGACAGAAGGGATTGTGAGAAGCATGCATGCTCTTTCTTCACCTCCCAGGTACCACTTCTCCATTTTTTTATACAACCATTAAAGTAAAAAAGGCGTTTCTGTACTGTCTTGTGCAGCTACTATAACCATAACATTCAGGGGTAGCTTTGGAATCATTACACRTTGGTGAGGTCTGTTTGTGAAGTCTCCATCTGACAACATGTCCATTCTGGRTGCACTTTAATTGCCATCCCAATCATGCTAGGTCTGAATCAGCAACAGTGTGTACTTTCAGGTATAAATTTAAAAATGAATAATGCACTGATAACAGCAGTAATGACAAACCTCTGGGCAAGAGGCAGAGGGATCTTGGAAGGGTATATAGGGCAGAAGGGGCATCTCAGTTTTACTTTCTTAACTTCATTTCTACTGCCAGCCTGACCTTAGTGAAGTCCTGAGGCTTRTCTACAGACATCCCCTCACAGAGAGATGCTACACTGTGAGGGAGCACTGCTTATTCACACAGATTCTGCAAAATTGAGTATTTTTTTTCTTTTTTTTTCTTTTATGAACTTTTGATTGTCTTCTTTTTAAAATAAAAAATTGTGGACATTTTAGCATGAGTAGTCACAGATAGCCCCAGCAGGGCCAGAGAAAGCAAGATAAGAAGCAAGCASAATTTATCTTCCCTGATTTATAGTAAATTTTGTTCACTGCAGCTTGGCACTTGACCTTGGCTTGGATGCAGCTTCACTGTCTTTGCATCCCACTCAGTTGCTGTCTGTGATGGAGTGAGTGGCCTTCCAGCACAGAGGGCTCTGAAGCAACAGTGAATTAGAATTACAGACAACTGGCAAATTACAATCAATTCTGGTAGATCTGTGAGGCATTTCTAAATTGTTTCCCTTTGCATATTTGTCCTTCCATTGTTAGTAACCAACTGACCCATGTGCAGACACAGAGCTGCAGACCAACAGAAACAGTGCTGTATGTGCTGCCTTTGSCTGGGGAAAGAAGTATTGCTGGAGAGAATGAAGCAGAGGGATGGTGTAAATGGCAGGCAGGAAGTGAAAAGGCAGGAGAAGGGCAGAGGATGGGGATCYGCTGGGGAATCAGGCTGTGCAGCAACGGGGAGTGGCTGTAAGGGAAACAGATGGGAAGAAAGGCAGATGGGAGATTAGGATTCAAACACATAGWAACCCAAACTTCTTTACATCAGATGCTCATGGAAAAATGTAGTTTGCTTTCAGTCATTGCTGCAGATTGAACTGGATGATCTCAAGAAGTTTASCATTAATATTATTAATATCTCAAGATTACAATTATTTTTAGTTTAGCATCAGCCCTCCAAATTGCAAATGTTTCACTTTACAATGTATATTATCAAAAAGTTTTCTTTACTAAATAAAGACRATTGTGGCAAAAAATGTACACAAAATCAGATGCCAGCACATAGGAACCCAACAGAAAAGTAATTTATTCATGGGGCCATAAATAAAAAGCTACAAATAGGATTGGAATTTTTGAAATCATTTTTTTTCTAATTTAAATCTTACATTGTTATTAGCACATCAGATTCTGTAGCTACTATAGAAAAATTCACATATAAGATTTTAAAAGCAAAAGATCCACATTAACTTTAAAAAATAAAAAAGAAAAACAACAAAAYCAAACCAAACACRTAAAARTGAACACAGAGAAGAACCCTGTTTAAAGAACCTGCAGGAAAAAAATAATTTCAGAGTGGRTGATAAATGCATAAAGTAGATAAAGGAGCACATAAGGAATCCACGTCTGCTAGACCAAGGCTTTGAATTAACTTTAGAAGATGGAGCCAGGAAGCAGCAATGAGGATAAAATGAACCATGTGTTCATGGTGTAATTGGATAATTCTCTGACACAGCCCACACATTTTGGCTGTTTCAGGCCTGTTTCATGGCTGATTCCCTGTGTTCCCATGTCCTTCATCCATTACCCTCACTGTCAACTAAGTTCCTCTGCAACCACAAGCAGATGTTCTCTAGACTAAAATTCAGAACAGAGAAAACAAGTTCTATTGAAAGGTTTAAATAACTAGTGGGTCATTAGAAATCTGCCCAGAGTTAGTGATGCTTTGGGGRTCCTTTGAGAGCAGATATGTGAGCATGATAGGAGACATAATTTTGTAGATCTAAATATACCACAGACAGTGCTCTTAAAACATCTCAGCACATCCATGGGGGAAAAAGACAGAGAGAACAGCACATCTACGTGATTATTTCCCTACGTGTTGTACTCTTAAAAAATGTACATTTGTCTTTGAGATGATTTATTGCGCTCTTCACTTTGAGCTATTGTCACTCAACAAGAGCTATTTCACTAATTTACAACTGTGTCAAATCAAAGTCTTAAAGTACAGATCGGCTATTTTATCCAGATTATTTTTAGTGCAGGTGTTTTGCTTGCACAGAAGAAGGAAACAGCAATATATTGTGATCAAAGAGGACTTGAAAGTCCAGAGTGCCAACACCAGCTCTCCATCAGGTGCTAGCTGACTCATTGGCTTTTAATGTGTAACTAAAGACTAATAATCGAGGCAGAAGTTGATAAGGCTGTCTCACTGAAGTTAACAGGATGAATAAATGCTGTYCTAATGAATACTGATGCTGACTCAGTTAATACTGCTAAAGCTTTAGAAAATTTGAAGAAAAAGTGTAGGGAATGTTATGATCTATTAAAATAATCTCTCATTTCTGTGGATTAAATCGCCGCAGACCTACGCGTTCCTTTGCCCGCGGTTCCGCTCTGCCGCGCCCCGGTACACCCCTCGCAGGCGCTCTGGGTGCGGAGATGTGCGGAGCGGGGCTTTGAGGAGCGGAGTGGGGTTCTGAGGAGCGGAGCGGGGCTGTGAGGAGCGGAGCGGGGTTTGAGGAGCGGAGCGGGGCTTTGAGGAGCGGAGCGGGGCTTTGAGGAGCGGAGCGGGGTTTGAGGAGCGGAGCGGGGTTTGAGGAGCGGAGCCCCCGCCGCGCCCCGCCCCGGCCCGCCCCGGCCCCCGGGCGGCCAATGCACGGGCGGGGAGGCACAGCCGGGGAAGGAGCCGGCGAAAACATCAATCCCAACTTTCTCACCTTGAAGAGAACCGAGCGCTCCCGATGTGTCCCCTCCTGTCGCCCTCCCTGCCAGCCCAGCCTCCCCAGGAGGGCCGTCCGACGGCCCGGGCTCGCCGCGGCAGCTGTCCCCTGTCCCTCGAGGGKCAGAAACGCGAGTAGGGGGTTCCCCTGGGGACAGCCCCCCTCGGTCCCTGCYGTCCGGAGCCGCGGGCAGGGGCGCTGAGCGGCGGGGCTGGATGCGGCTGCCATGGGGCGCGGGGCWCCCCTCGGACCGCGGCTCCTGCGGGCGCTGCTGCTGCTCGCCCTGTGCCCCGCGGCTGGCAGCACCTGGATGTGAGTAGCCGGGCGCGGGTCGGGGTGGGAGGGCTGCGCGGAGCCCGGCCCCCCGTGCCCGTCGGGGCCCGGCGCTGACGGGGGGCTGCCTCTGCAGGTGGCTGGGCATCGCCGCCGCCGGCGGCCCCGACGGTCCGGGCTGCTCCAGCCCTCCGCTGAGCCGGCGGCAGCAGGACCTGTGCGAGCAGAAGCCGGAGCTGGTGCCCGCGATCCGGGAGGGAGCGCGCCTGGGTCTCCAGGAGTGCCGCAGCCAGTTCCGACACGAGCGCTGGGACTGCCGCTCGCCGCCCGCCGCCCGCCGCGGCACCGCCARCCCCGCCGGCCCGGGCCAGCAGCTCAGCAGCGGTGAGTGACATCGCMGGGCCGCTGCTGTCATGGGGGCGAGGGGCCGGGGCTGCCCCCCTGCTCCGGGTTGGGCTGGCCGGGGACTGTCCGTGCGTCCCTCGGCAGAGCCGGGCAGAGCGGAGTGTACCGCCACCGCTGCCGTCCCGGGATGGACCGCAGGCACGCGAAATGAGAGAAACCTGCCCTCGTCTTTACAACGTTGTCGTTGCTTCTTGTAATTTTTGCGTAGTACGTCCGTGGGTGACACTGGCCGTAGGTAGATCCACTCACCTGTGTTGAAATACTGTTTTTCTTAGACTTATGTTGGGTTTATTCCCTTGTGTCATAGTTACTAAATGAATCGGGTTATGACATAGTATTTCAAAAAGGTTACTTGTTAGCAGGTGAAAGAAATCTGCTCGGGGCTCTAAATTCAATGTGAAATGTTTAGAAATGTATCATATGGGCTCAGGTATGTGGTACTGATCAGCACAGTGAAACCAAAGTTGCGTTTCTTTGCATAAAATAATTACGGGATTGCTGGAATTTCCACTGAAGTAAGGGTGGATTTTTTTAAAGATCAGCACCAACTCTTTCYTCCAAGTTTCAAAGATCCTGCAACTTTTTTGAGCTCCCTAATCATTGATTGTGTGATTGATTGTGGTACTTCCCTTTGTGTTCATGCAATCTTCACTTTGTGTTAAAAAAACTGTAAAACCCCTAAGCATTAATCACGAAAACATAAAGTGAGGAATAAAAAGTGATGCATATTCCAAAAAGGAAAGGGGGAAAAGAGAAAATGAGAGAAATTTTCTCCATTGTACGGAGCCATATGTACTGCATGTTAGTCCTTCTGGCCAACAGGAGGGACTGTTCCTGAAGACCCATAAATGAGTGGCGCTGCTCACCCACAAAGCTTCACTAGTGTGCAGTGTGGAAGCCTTTTATGACAGTTCCAGCACCACAGACTAATACAAACAGGAGAAACAAAGAGGAACTTTCCTGCCCGTAAGCAGGAACTTGTAAGACTGGAAATAAATAATTTTTACAACAGTGCAAAGTGGCCCAGTAAAATTTCAGCTACATTTATTGACCACTCATTGATTTTCAATTTGCTTAGAATATGCCTTCCTTAGCAATTTAAAGCTGTGTGCCTCATTATGAAGTGTCAGAGAAGGCTTAAGAAGCCCAGGCAGGTCCCTCCATGATTCTTCTGAGATACAGTCCAACAAGTAAAGGCCCTTCATGCTGCTGTCTTTCCCATGGCTCGCTYATTCTAGGAAAAGCATATGGCTTAAAAGCCTTGTGCCATCTTAATTGCTGCCTGGTTTAAGTTTTTTGGGACTCTTTGCAACCTTTGTGAATTAGAACAACATCGGTGTTTGCTACATTTAGCATGAGGTAAGTTTTGGCCCTATACCAAAGTAACCTGGGATCGTGAGACAGTTTCTCTGAGATTTAAACTAACCTTTTCTTCAAATCAATATGAATAGTGAAAGGTAGAATGGAGAGTAAAGGGTTTGAATGTGGCTAGTTTGGGGTTTGATTTTTATTTATTATTTAAACTTAATTGGCTTGAAAATTTCTTTGGCAAATGAAATTCCTAATCAGATTCAGAAAGAAGCTATCAGAAATTGCATGGTACAACTAACGAGACACAGCACCATAAATAGCATGGCCATATGAAAAGGCCCTGAAGTCATTTTGGGACATGAACGTCCACTGCTTTGAACAAGTTAACKCTGCAGACCAAGTTGTGATGACTTTAAACTTGAACCATTCCCTTTTAATGATCATCTGGCTCGTAAAGTCACTTGGTGCAGCCCAACTGGGAAGGTAATCAGGGAGTTATGGAGTTATATTTTCATGCCTTGTTATCAGGGAGTAATGGAGTAACGATTCCATGCCTTGTAATCAGTTAAGGAGTAACATTTCCATGCCTTGTTATCAGGGAGTTATGGAGTAACATTCCCATGCCTTGTTATCAGGGAGTCAAGGAGTAACATTTCCATGCCTTGTTATCAGGGAGTTATGGGGTAACATTTCCATGCCTTGTTAGCAGGGAGTTATGGGGTAACGTTCCCATGCCTTGCTGTGCAGGCACCAAGGAGACGGCGTTCATCTCGGCAGTGATGGCAGCAGGGCTCGTGCACTCGGTGACGCGCTCGTGCAGCGCAGGAAACATGACCGAGTGCTCCTGCGACCTCACCCTGCGGCACGGCGGCTCGGCCAGCGAGGGCTGGCACTGGGGCGGCTGCTCGGAYGACATCCACTATGGAATGTCCTTCAGCAGAAAGTTCCTGGACGTGCCTTTCAAGAACATGACAGGCAAGAGCGGGAGYGGACTGGTGGCGATGGACCTGCACAACAACGAGGCTGGCAGGCAGGTAGGTGCCATTCAGATGTGACAGTGACTGCTCAATCACCTTCGTTGACAAAATGGCATCAGCCAAAGGAGACTGGTCCTTGGCTGCAGGTATTCATGGGGTCAGTGACAAGAACAGCACCATTATCACCAAAGAAAGCATGAACAAACTTGGAATCACACCTGGTTTTAACTAACTAATCTCCRTGTCTTAAAATAAAATCCACAAAATAAGTAATAGATCTGCAGTGCTTAAGCAGTAGATTTATTTTAATTAGATATTTGATATTAGGTTGCAAACTTGGAACAGTCCTGTCACCAGCATAATACGAGTTTTGTCACTGATTATTCAGTTACTATCATGACCTGCATTTTTAATTCTCTCTGCTACTAAATGAGAAGGCCAACTGGACACAAGGCCTCATTACTCATTCACAGTCTGCAGTCCACACTTGAGAGTGCAAGTCTAACATTGTTCAGAGAGGAAATCAAGGGTTAATATTTGCYTTAAAAAACATGGGATACAAATGACACCTCCAGAGTAGCTCATTGGTTAGGACATGCATCAAAAAAGTCAAAGGAGACTGGCTTTGGATGGCTTTTCTCAAGCCCAAAGAACTTCAAACCCAGCATTGCAGAGGAAATGTGTTTGAGTGTGTGACATTGGATTCTTCTTCCTGTCCTGCAGAGGATTTAAATAGGGGGCAAAAGTAGCCTATACAGGGAGATGWGAACTTGTAATCTAGTGCTTGGAGYTTACATCTGGAATGGCAGAGATGTGGATTCTGATTTTGCCTTTAAAATTTCTTTCTCTGCTATACCTTGGAGTTTTTAAATTCATCTTTAATGGTTCTCTCTGGGCCCATAATACTTTAAATCTGTTCTGTTCAGTGACACAGATTTAACTAAAGGAAAAGAAAGAAAGGGAAAACCTCTGGTTTTGACTACACAGTGTTGATGGACTCCGTTGTAATTCTGTAATTTCCTGTAGCCAGAAGCAGCACCAGTGGCTTTTACTGAAATCAATTTACCTATCTGCCACAGACAAGGAATAGCCATAGTAAGCTGCCATAAGAGCCATGGTGATATAATTGAAAATTATTTTAAAGCAATTTTTACAGGTAATATGTGTTATTTCATTTAAGCAATGTAGTTGGAAAAGCAGAAAATCTTCCAGGTCCCTTCCAACCCAAACCATTCCAAGATTTTATGGTACTATGACACAGACMCTTTTCATAACTGAAATTGATGAAGAAAACTTCGACCCTAAGTAAATGTTGAGAACAGTTATTCAGTGAGTTTAATCAGATGCCAGTCAGCTAAATCATCTCCAAGGAAAGGTGATTGTATCTTGTARTACAAGATGTTAATAAGAATAGAGGATTAAATTATTATTCCCTGAAGGAAAGAGCAAAGGGTTGGTTATCATGTTTGCAGAGCGAGATAGTCAAGGAAGAAATACACAGTCAGCTTCCATGCATAAATATTTTGTAATTTAATGGAAAAAATGTAGGATTAAGCAAATATTTTGTTCAGTGTCCAGAATGAAAAAGAATGTTTATTGTTGATACTTGGGATTTCTAGCAGCAGTATTATCTGAAGTACAGTTTAGCATAACTCTTCCTTTTTATATTTTCAAATCTTAACTGGGAGATGCTGGAAAATGTTGACCTTCATGTTTTKGGGCTTATGATAAGGATGTTTTGTTATCTTACGACCTTTTGTAATAAGTACTATCATGTTACTGGTTTGGTGTCTTGCAAGAGCTTTCTTCCAGGGACAATACTTCTGTGTTTATTTGGAGTTAATAAYAGAACTGGTATGTGCAGAATTCTCTTGTTTCTCTCCTATTTCAGTACAAAATGTTATTTTAGACTTCCACATCTCATAGTTGTCATATCAATGTACAAAAATTTTAAAACTGTGTCTTTTGAGTTATCCACTAATCTGACTCTMAGAGGATTCAGATTGCATCCATATTCTGCTACAAGATAAACTTTCATCTTTTAGCACAGCAATTTTCAGTGTGCTTAGATGTGCATACTTGAGTTGGGTGTTTCTGTTCCTTCTACAGAAGGGTGTAGGGAGTCAGRCACTATGGGCTGACCATCAATGTGTTTGTATTATTTTATTGCTGGAAGAATTCTGCTCCCTTTCCCACTTGTGGGAGTTTATTTGATGTGGGASTTGTGTTCTCACATTGAAGAAGCCTGGCTCACTGGAGAGTTTGTTTTTATTGATTTTTGTGGATTGGTAAGAAGCAACAGTCTGGAACTGGTCATGAATGCTGCACCTCTGGCAGGACACGTGCTTGTCTTCATGAATAACCAAATTAGTTCTGCTGAAACTGGGACAATTGATTACAGGCATCGGTTCCTGTTACAAAAGAAGTACTGGCAGTCCTTACCCACAGCTGAGAGCAGTGCCTGCAAACAGAAGCTTAACTTGGAGATATTAAGCATTAACTGGCATTAGAGGGTGTGCAAGCTGTGATTCCATGGACACTCTTCTTTGCTGCAAACATGTCTCTGCTTTCTGTCTGTTCTAGCCACAGATTCCTACCCYGTGCCACTCGGTTAATTGCATTGGGTCAGTGAAAGGAACACAGTTTTAAAATTATCTTTCTCTCAGGTTTATTTTTTAAAAAGAGCAGTGTTCACCCCTTTTCATCACTTAACCCTGCACTCTTCTTGTGCTTGTAGCACCAAGGCTGAGTGRTAGTAGGGACAAGAGGAACTGCTCAGATGGGCTTGTGGCTGATGACAACACTTGGACCCAGCTCAGTTCCACACTGACCCTTTCTCACAAGCTGTGAGTCAGTTCCATAATCCACTGAAAAAAATCCTGTCCCAGCTATTGCTCAGAACGACACATCTATCCACAAGGTTTCTGTGACAGCGCTCCTTTGAAGTTCTCTGTGAAATTTTGTTTCGTAGGGAGATTCCTCTCACCGTTTCATGAATAGCTGAACAGATTCACCTTATGAATCTGAAGTGTGAAACAGAACACATTGTGGAATTGGTCTGGTAGTCATGGTCCCAGTAACTCTGTGTGTTCCAGACATTACCAGGAGAAGATGCCCAGTCCCTAAATTTTGCCAGATGTTCAATTATGGGAGCTTTTTGATTGAAGTTCACATGACAGACTGAGATCCAGTAGAATGTTTTGTGATCAGACAAAGCAAAATGTCACCTCCCTTATAAACCTAGTAGCACAATATGATTTAAAACTACTTTGAAATTCTAGTTCCTTGATGAAAATAACCAATCATTCAAAATTGTAGAAATACTACTAAATCTTCTCTGGTTTTAAGTTGTGTGTAAAATTTATCTTTTTATACTTTKTTTCTCTTTTTCTTCATATTTTTATTAGGTCATCTGTCTTCTGGCAGTCTTTCTGTCCTCAAATTTTAAATTCTTATCTCCCTCAATCACTGTTAAGTCTTAATGATTAATATTCTGACTACACAGTGATTTCCTTATTGACACATTCTTGAGATACAAATACATGGTCAAGTCTGTTGATTAAAGTGAAACTAGTCTGTGTAAAAGAGATTATAAGTATCTACCAGTGTTAATTAGCGGTTGATTTGCCACTGAAGGAATCTGTGTGTGCTCTCATCCCAGTCTCACTCTGGGATGAGAGTTTGCTTGTTGCAATGTTTTAATTTCTTCCAGTAGTAMAGATAAATCTCCAAACACAAAGGCAGCCCACAGTGTGGAAGTATCTCCTGTACACGCGCATCTCTTCACTGGGTTTAGTTTGTAAATGACTGTTCTAGGTCAGGGCATTCACCTGCTCTTTCTTGCTAATATTTTATGTTAATGCCTTAAGTATTTGGCTTCCACAGTAACCTCCACCAGAAAATAAGTCCTGTTTATTCACCAAAGATGTGACTCCAAGCAAACACTTTGGTCATGCCTTTTTATAATGTTTGCACAATAATATGCAAATGCCAGCTCRGGCTTGTGTCAATACCTTTGGGGTAGAATGTGCCAGGAGGCCTCAATACCCACTGAAATCAATGGAGTAACCATGCCAGACTCATCCCAAACTTCAGTGAGCATGCTCACCATGATGGAAAGTCCTGGTTTAGCACACAGGGTACRAAGAGCTGATTTGATTTGTTCCATGCCTTGTCTGGTTCTGGAAATTTGAGGATGGCATTTGTGCTTCCTCAACTTCCTTGGTTTCCATGCCAATACAGAATCTGGGACTTGAGTTTATTTCTGTTCCTGCATAGGGCCAGTGGGGCTCAGTAGGATTTCAGGTCTCTGATCTCACTGCAGAATCCAGACTTAGGAACTGGYGCAAATGAAACTACTTTCTCAGAGGAAACCAGAGAAAGGTGTTAGATTTGTCTKCTGTTTTTTAAATTCAATTTAAGAAAGACATAGATTGTCAGCAGTTTTAATTTGTGGAGGGTATAGGATAAGCGAAGGTTTAGGGTGAAATGTAATAACCATGATGTAGTTGGGGTGGTTTTTTTTTGTTGTTTTTTTTTTAATTTTCCACATGTTTTGGTCAATAGTGGTTCCTCCAAAGAGGATTAATTTGAATATGCATTGGCCTTGATGCATGAGAAGACAAACTTACTATGACTTAATTTAAAATCCACACTTTCCCAATTGCTTTGATCATGGAAATTAAATATGGAGGGAGTTTAGTAAAATGGAAGATGGCAACAGGGACTTTCTACACTATTAACCRGTGGCCCAGAGGAGACTACAGGATGGCTTCAGAAGGTGCATTAATGGAAATGTACAACATACTAAAAATACCTTGTCCTTATGCTACATCTGTACATGTGTGATTTTTCAGTGCCTTTTTTGAACTCTGAGAGCTGTCCAAGACTAATTGTATGATTTTATACTATGACTGTTAGGTATTACAGAAGGAAGTATTGTATTGATTGTCTGCTGAGTATTTGAGTCATAGCCTCAGATAAAGGAAGTCATTGCTTGTTTACAGATTCCAGTTATTTGGGGCTTGATATCACATAAACTGAGCCAAAATTGTTGTGTGTTACAAAAGCTTAACACAGGCTTCAGATTCCCATTGTTATCAAACAGTTGTTCAGCCCAGGCCTTGCTTCTGTATGGGCATAGAAAAGTAACTCATCTAAGAGGATTTTAGTGTTGGCTGTAACTGTGGAAATCTTGCTAAAATATTGGCAATTATACAAGTAATATGAATGCAACTATCTAAGTATGTTATTATATTGTTAGGGCCATTACGAAGCTGGAAACACTAGAAACACATACTAGTATGCCTAAATTAAAAGAATAGGGCTCAATGCTATAARTGAGAAGTACCTGAGATTTACTCCAGAATACCTGACACCTCTKCTAAGCCATTGTGGATCCTTTGACAGACTTTCTGTGAAGCTCAGAGATGTGGGCATCCTCCTGATCTTCCAACAGTTTGCCCTGAGGTGCCTCTAGGCTGTTCTGCTTTGGGTGCTGAGCCACACTGGTTGCCCAGACACTGCTGTGTGTCCTCAGCCATTCCCATGGCCTTAGTTACAAACTGGGTTGTGAATGTTTAGTGATCTTCCTGGTGGCTGCCAAGTACCCTTAAAAGGMAACACAGCTGGGCACTTACTTGCCCAGTGTCTTCCAGCACAGGAAGGATGCCATGAACTACCCTATCTGTTTTCCCCTTCTGTGATTCCCCACCAGAGCCTTTTGCCCACAACAGCCTTTTGCATTCCAGGAGTGGGAGGAGCAGCACAAGATGTCATTTCAGGTATTTAGAATCCTCCAGAATGAAAAGCCATCCAGGAATCACAGTTTTCATTGCGGTGSTTTGATACTGCTACATTATGGCCATTGCAAGCTGCAAATGAAGAGCACTTCTGGAGATCGTGCCTCTCATAGCAGGGGTCCAGGACTGGAAAACGGGTTCCTGACATGTGCTCTGACTTCCCAGCTATGGAAATGGCAATGGCAGCTGTAATATTAAATACTTTGAGACCTCTGTGTTACTGATGTCAGGCAGCATTCCTAATGAACAAAAGACCACATCCAAATCTTGTTCTCCCTTTTGCTTTCAGGCTGTAGCCAAGCTGATGTCTGTGGATTGTCGTTGTCACGGTGTTTCTGGGTCCTGTGCTGTGAAAACTTGTTGGAAAACCATGTCCTCCTTTGAAAAGATTGGCCGGTTTTTAAAGGATAAGTATGAAAACAGCATACAGATATCAGACAGACTGAAAAAAAAGCTTCGCAGGAAAGAGAAAAGCCAGAGAAAAATACCAATTGGGAAAGAGGACCTGCTGTATGTGAACAAATCACCCAATTACTGCGTCGAAGACCAAAAGCTGGGGATCCCTGGAACTCAGGGAAGGGAATGTAACCGCACGTCGCAGGGACCCGATGGCTGTAACCTGCTGTGCTGCGGGCGCGGGTACAACACCCACGTTGTCAGGCATGTGGAGCGCTGCGAGTGCAAGTTCGTGTGGTGCTGCTACGTGCGCTGCCGGCGCTGCGAGACCATGACTGATGTGCACACCTGCAAGTAAGGTGAAGGGCAGCAAGCACAAACCATCCACCCTGTTTGATGCACACGGCTGCTGCAGGGCAGCAATCGCTGCTTCCATGCGGGATTTCAGAGGGATGGGCCTCGGGGGRAACAGGTACTGCCAGACAACGGGAAGGGCGAGCGTGCGGCGACCGAAACAAYAGCTGAGTAAACATCAGCATGCAGGGACAGCTTAAATAGAAAAAAGGACTCCTGATGACATGTTTGAACGTGTTACTCCATGAGCAGGGACAGATGCTAAAGTTTTCAAGTTTTTAATAGCCACAATRTCCTGAGGACCCATGTGGTGGGTAGGTACAGTGGAGAAATCTCAAAATCTCATTAGCCAGAGACTGGAGAGTTAAAAGAGTTTGTAAGGTACATTAGATACAGTCCCTATGTCTGYGCTTTTAAAACTGGGACTAGATGGATCCACTAGATAGTTAATTTCTGCAGACTTCAGAAAAACGCACAAAGATAGGGGAGGAGTTGAGCTGTTGACCACAAAGCATTTGCTTCGCAGCCGTTCGGAAAGCTGCCTTGTGCTTAATGTGCAGAAAAGCGTCTGGAGCTGAGGAACGTGTGTGACTCAGAGCTCAGCACTGCCTGCCTGGAAAAGGAGAGTCAAGCTGTGCCCAGGGGAGAGGGGCAGGAGCACAGCTCGGGGAGTGTGAACGGGGTACCAAATAGCAACCTCGGGATTTTTAACAGGTTGTCCTTCAAATGCACACGGGACAGGTCTGAGGGGGATGGAAATACAGTTTGGTATTTGAAGGAAATAAAACCCCTTGCAGGCATTGCCGCAGTGTCTGAGCACACATTTTGTGAGTCAGCTGGTCATCACCCCACTGTTGAATTCTCTACAATAACCTGCCACATTCAACCATCTTACTAGTGGTTCAGCATCATTATCAAAATTAACCACATGAGATTTAGCCCAAAGAAATCTGCCATAAAGCAAAAGATTTTTTAAAACATATTTTCTTTATAGTCAGCAGCTAGAATTTTTCCTTAGGTTGCATYCTCACTAAGTTCAATGCACAATGTAATTTATGGATTGGCTCACACCACTAAAATATTTAAACTGATGRTGATAACATTTTCTCTGGTACCATATGTTGGCTTAATTTTATTTTACATCTCTGAAAGGCCGTTTATTTTTATGCAGTGATTTAATGCCTGGTTTAAAAAGCATCATGTGAAAGGATTACTGTTGTTTAATTATGCAAAGACCTATTTTTGATAAGACAAGAAAGTTTATATTTTGTAAATATTTAAATTATGCAAGTTATGTAAAAYGTTTCCAAAACTAATGTGATAAGGCTACAGCCCTCGATATTTGTTGGTTAGATATTTGTTAATATTGTAGTAGCCTTTAATTGATTTTTATTTGCATATGCTGAGGAAAATTATTCAGACAACTGCATAAATGTTGGGGTTTTTTACCATCAGGGTGGTTACAATTATTGCAGTTAATACACACTGATGAGAAACTGTTACTATGATTTTCTGAATGGTCAGTTAAATTTATTCTGCATACTTTATTATTCTCTAAAGTGCATTTTACAAACACTGAAATCCCAGTTCCAGCAGTAAGTGCTCCCACTGACAAGGGAACTTGGAAGGTTTCACAATCCCTTAACTTGTTCCATACTAACAGCCAGTTTTTAGAAACTTGGGACAGTTTGGCTAAGGCTTTCAAAGTTACTTTGAAGAATTCATTTCCTAGTTGTCAGTTATTTTCCCAGGAAAGATGGTGACCAGATTCCAAACTGTCACTCCTTATTGGATGTGTAGGTCAGGAAGAAGGAAGCAAAATCTTCTAYGTTGTGGTATTTCACTGCCTTATGTGGATTACTTTAGGAACATCAGTTCAGCAGCAATGAAGTCCTTTATCTGCTGGTTCTTTTTGGACCTTTACTCTACATTTGGCCAGCCTGTCTCCATTGGCCTGACCAATGTTATCATGAGACCACAAAATCTGCTGTCAGGGGGAAAGATGCTCAGCAATGCCAGTCAGTGTCACAGGAGGATTCAACACCCTCTCTTGTGAAAACTTGGATGGGGAGGACACATCATGGTAGAAGACCCTGAAGAGACAGTTGTGACCCCAGGGTATTTCAGTTTTGCAGCAGTGAAAGTAAACCCACAGGTTGTGCCACARGACGCAGTGACAGCGTGGATGGGAGATGATCGTGGTCACTTTCCAGCCAAGAACATTTGGATGGCACACAAACCAACCTACCTAGAGTGACAGGTAACAATAGGAAGAGATATCTGAGGAATCTGTTTTAACCTGCATCTGTGAAGGATGCTTTAGATCTCTGTACCGTTGAAAGGGCTACTACAGAGGCAGCAAGGAGGAACTGAAAGTGGCTTTAAATTAATGTAATCAGAAATGCAAATAAACGTCTCAAGTGGAGCGTGTTCTCTCTTGCCACTCCTCACTTTTGCACCCCCAGGGAGGCAGGAGCAGGATGTGGCTGAGCTCTGGTGTTTGTGCCCTGCTGACCCGTTGCTCAGAGGGTGAGAGCAGGGTCCCTTGCATGCCTTGTACAGCACCAGRAGCCACTGACACCCTGTGTTATCAGTGAACAGGCCAAGAGCTGTTCCACACTTTTCAGCCTCAAAGTTCTCACCTAGCCTTACAGGTTTCTTTGACTTTCTGTAACAGACCCYTTGTATTAAGGCTGGGATATGGCCTTGCAGCCATAAAACTGAAAAGGATTTCATCACTAAAAAGTCCTTTGCTTAGTACCCACCTTAGCCATGACCCAAATCAGTCAGGGAGAGACCGCAGCCCTTCCCATCCTTACACAGGGAAGTCAGTCAGCACTTAATGGTGGCAGTATTATTTCCCCTTCTGAAATTACCCACCTGGCCTCTTATTTTATTAATACACTTATTCTTGAAAAACACTCTGACTGCAGAAAACCCAAACAGCTCAGGAGACATTACGCAAACATCAAGCATTTAGCAGTCACTTCAACATTTGAGAAAACTAAGTGCCACAGTAAGAGATCTGGAAAGCAAAATATACTGAGCAAAATAAAGCTTTTTCCAAACTAGCAATCGGGAAACTAAGGCTGTAAAACGGTCTGCTTTTTCCAGAGAAAATTTAAAAAAATATAAGTTGGATCATGAAAGACACCAGGAGAGGTCCAGAGGGTACATCATGGCAAAGACCCCCTTCAGTTTCCTCCTTAGGACTCCTGTTAAACCATATAAAGCATCACTAGTAAAGGAGTTGAGAGCTGTGGTTTACATTGAAGTCATCCTCAGGTGGCTTAAATCCCAGCTGGGTATTCCTTGGTGAATATTAAGTGAAAACCTTCTTGTGTCCTTCCCCCTCTCACAGCTCCACTTTAGAGGCAGATGTACTCCACCCCCTTCTCTTCCCTCACTGCTCTGTTCTAAACAATGGGAACACTGCAAGATGGTACAAATGTTCCCATTACCTTCTGCAGGAAAGCATGGATCCTGGAGCTATCACACACAGGTATTTGTGCACCTGTACAAATGCCTTGGTCTCTGCTACTGATTTCCTACCACCAGCTGTGGGAGACCAGAGAGGCCACAAGAGTCATCTTTGTGCTTGCAACTCAAATAAAATGCAAATTGGTTACCAGAAGGTCTCACTGCTAAGATAAGAGTTCATCTCAGTAGCAGGATACTGTGAGTTGCCCATTCAAGGCAGACATGGCATGACCAGATCATGCAGCAAGTCAACAGACCATGAGGATGGACAAAAGCAAGGAGACCCCCTTTGTGTGGCTACTCCAGTATGACTTTCAAATATTTGATGAGAATCTTATTAAATACAATACCATACAGCTGTGAGAACATGGYTTCAAGAGTAAGAGGAAGATTTCCATCAAAAGTTTAAGAATCAATTCAAGATGTAACAAAAATAATCCTACCATTTTGTTGTTTTAAAATGCATTGTTTAAAAGGTTTGTTGCAGGTACAACTTCAAGGGGTTAAGAGAATCATGATATATTTACTCAACTTGGACTGTTAATAAAGGCACATATTCATTTAATTCTGCAGACGAAATTCAAACTTTTTAATTTGAAAAAATATGAAATATTCACTGGCATTAAAGTCAATAAAATGAAGACAAGGGTAGTCCAGGAACATTGCTAATGTAGCCAAATGGGTTTTATTCTCTTAAGCCCCTGCTGAATAACTTTAAAATTATTTTGATATTATTCTGGGTAAYAGGGTATCCAATACTGGCACATACACCAACAGAACTGTATTTCTGTGTAAGTTTCAGAACCTCTGAAAAATATTTATTCACAACAGCCTTAAGTAATGAAATAGAATTTCAACTAATTAGAAAAGGGGATTTTACTTCAATGAAAAAATACATATGATTGTAACACATCCTCCTACACAGGAAAATCTGGAAGATTTAACAAAAGCAGTTTTACTGTGTCAGGTGCATTCATAGCTGTTTCACATTAATATTGAGAGAAATCCACATTATTTAAAAACCCAGTTAAACACAGAGAACAACTCAGAATTCAGTCTTACTCTGGTATCAGAGATTATTTATTTTTCTTACAAGGTAATTCTCAATATTGCTTGAAATTTTTAGTGCACAGAATTTGTCTCAGAAAACATCAATATTATTTCTAATGCCTCTGTGTTAAACTTACTGTGGGTTCCTGAAAAAGCCTTTGTGGCTTTTACCCCATAGTAGTAGCYTGAAGTTTTTGAAGAATATACCAGACCTCATGACACAAAGGCCTAAGAGATTACAGCCAGTGTTGTGTCAGCCCTAATTTTGTGAATATGGACACAGTAATACCATACTAACTTAGTTTCAGGAAAAGTTCAAGCTGGCCCTATTTAAAAGAAACAAAAGTTTAGAAAGAAAGCAAGGTCTTCTCACAGCTCTGTTATAAGATAAAGAATAAGGCCACTTACACTTGGTCCTTTTTTCCATTTAAAAAAAGGATGAAGCAAACATTATCAGCAAAGTTCACAAGTCATACATTGCATAACCCAAAACACAATGCTCTCTSTAACATTCTATGGAAGAAGAGATTGCCTCGGCTCATAAGAAGTAATGTAGGTAGTAAAGGTGCTCAACTGTGTTCCCTGAAACCACTCTCACTAGGAGGCAGACTGTTTTCTAACAGGCTCTTTCTGATGGGAAATTTATTCCTGACATTAGAAATAAAAGAGGAAGCTCTTCCATTATGCACATTCACTGCRTGACCAGCCACTGCAGCTGAACAGCCATAGGGAGAAACAACTGTTAGGCAGCAGTGCAAGAACTGCAATAAAAATAAAGAGATTAACCACAGTACTGCTGCTTAATGTGCCAGGTCCCTTCCATAAAGTAAACACTTTCAAGTTAAGTACAAATTCTTCCAAGCTTCTTTTAAATATCATACACACTATTTATACATTTATTTTAGTTCATCCCCCACAGGTAAAAAAAAAAGTAATAATTTCTATTATGCTTTTCATGGCATATCTGTTATACTATTATGAAGTCTTTCTTTGTTGATTATTCAGTTTTGATGGGGAACTACAAAATAAATTTTTGGAGCACTTGGTATTAGAACAACCAAATAGCTTTAATAAAAATGGATGCTGCCATTAAAAAGGCAGAAGATAAAAAAAGTTAGAGCTCCTTATTAACAAATTACTAAAATCTACAATATTCCACTAATTTTACGTAGTCACAGCAACATTGCACTGTTAAGAGGACAGTACATTTGTCAGGATCTCTTTATTGTCCATATATGTAATTTATTAGCCAGTTATCTATAAGTATTATTTACCACAGGCAAACTAAATACTGTGCTTTTAAGACACCTGCATAGAAATGATTGGATGTTTCTTTTATTTTGGGCATATTTACAAAAAGAATTTCTATGTGTGTTAGCAATAAATAATCCCAATATTCAAAGTGTCAGTGCTCATGCACACACTGACAAGATGGCTGCATGCTTTAAAAATGTTATTTACAGTACAGTCTCCTTCATAGCCCTCTCTCTAATAATAGCAGAAAGTGCATTTTCTTCCACATTCTTTCTCCTTTTCTTCTGTTTTCATTTAGTCTTGCTTCTGAGGGATACAGCCTTCCATCTCAACAACTTCTGGCCAGCCTTCATATTTGTTTGTGTCCTTATTATTCTTTATATGCTACAAATGGAAAATATCATTCTGTCATTAATGTGAAGTCATCTATCCTTTTGCTTTAACTCACCACTTTAAAACATCTACTTATTTTCAGGCCATGGACAAAGAATAAACATCATTATTAACTTCTTGTGCATTGAATCAAAGTAACTTGCTCAGACAAGTGTATGGTAGAAACAGTTAATGCCATACTGGGAAAACATGATACCAAATTTACCAGGCAATGAAAACAAATAGTGAGATTTTAAAGAACATTTATTTTTCCACCAAGCAACCATCTGCAATCAGGTAAGGCATTATCGCCTCCAAGAGTCTGCCACTGTTTCTGCACTTAGTTCCACTCCCTTGCAGAGCTGCCTGAAGAAAACACATCTTCCTTACTCTCCTAGCACAAAGCTGCTTTTACCAGTATTTAAAGACAACATTGACACATGCCAAATTGTAACAGCTAAAGTATGGGAACATACTCTATTTCACAAATTTTGCTATGGCAGCAATTTGAGAGAAAAGCAAAGCTAACAGCCGGGAACACCAACACCTTAACTACTCACTTGGAAGTTCACCATTCTTACTGCATCTAAAATACAAGCGTAGGCAGAAAGTTTTGAATTCTTCAGTTTCATATGATTCATTAAAAAGATGAACAATCTAGTTCCTGGCATAATAAGAGCTACCCCTTATTTATGAGTCACCAAAGAATCTTTTTTGGTATGTTTAAAAGGAGAAGACTACTCAAGGAAAAAACCTGTGTGCCAGTACTACAACAGATACCCATCCTGAACAAATGCATGGGATTTATAAACATACTCTGACTCTATTAATGCAAGCTGTTAAATTGCAAGAAGTTATAGAATCACAAACCTGTTCAAATGGACTTTTTGTCTTAATTCCTTTTCCACCGCAGAAGACCCAGTTGTCTCTGAAGCCAAGGTTAGTAATKGATGTGCTTCCTAATTCAGCAATCAGTTTCCGTGCTTCCTCATTAAGCCTTGGAAAAAACAGAGAAATTCAGTATGTGAATAAAATACATGTCCTTAGAGCTTTCATTGCTCCGTGCACCAGTCTGCTTTGATCTTAATAAATAAAGTTTAGGTCAGTCAATATTGGGCAAGATCTTTCTTCCACAATCAGATAAGGCTAGATCTGAAATCACCTGATAAAACRAGCACTGCTCTTTCTTACTGTAATCTCAAGGAACCAGGATATAAACCTATCATTACACCAACAAAAGCCAAGAACTCTTTGCTGGGAGAAATTATACATACCTCTCGACTCCTGTTAGCAATTCTCCAAGCAACTAAATAAGTCAGCCTTTAAAGTAAACATTGTTTGTAGGCTCAAGCTGAAGTCTAGATAAAGTAGAAGCTATTTTAGATTAGAAGAATCACATGAATATCTAAAAGAAGTTCTTGTCTGCCTGGGGCAAGTAATTCAAAATTCAGAATGCTGCCCCACAGCATGGTTCATTGCCTATAAACCCAATTAGGATAAATTTAGTATTCAAAGGAAAACAATTCTGTAGGATAAATTATCATTCCAAAATCTCTAAAGAGCAACTCTTTATTTCTTCCTTTAAGTTACTAACATTGCCTGATTACCAAACAAGACACAAATTGTGAAAGTTTATTTGCATAGCCCATGCTCCAGCTTTCTCAAGCATTAGGGCAGCTTAATTCTTCACAATTTTATTTCCAAGAACTGGCATTTATACTTACTAACAACTACCAGCGGTAGTTGTAGTATTGTCGATAACAGTAATTCCTGTCTGTCAGCATGACTGGGCCAAATACAGCCCTGTTTAGCTGTATTCTATCTACATACAAGCTTTCAAAAACATCAGCTGTAACATGATTATTGAAGCAAAACTAACCCTACTTTCTATCTAAAACATCAAACAAGAAAGGGAAAAGTCAAGTAACAAAACAAGCGAACAGAAGAGTAGAAAGAAGATCCAACCTTGCCTAAAACCCCAGTAAATTACTTCTTTCCTAAAAASAGTGAATGTAAAGACACTTGACTATTTACTGTAAAGATTGCACACTGCAAAGACCTAGGCATGGGGAAGATGCTTCCATACAAAAAATGCAGACAAGTTGTGGATAACAAATTGAACCAAAAGAGGAAAAAAATACACAGAGCACATTAACAAAAAGTTAATTATTAGTAAAGCAACGCAGGAAAAGGAGAAAAGTTTCAATTTTCACTGTGAAAAGCAATCCTTTGGATAGGATGACTTAAGTGAGGAGTAAATTATAATACATATTCTACAGTAATTTTTAGTATTTATTGAAACTGACCCAAGTTGTGAAAGTTGGAGAATAATGCTTTAAGAGACCTAAATCCTCTTAGGCTACGTCTAGGTTAATAAACGGAACAGCATTAGGATGGAATAGCAAAACACTGAAGCAAAAGTAGTGTCCAAAAAAGTAAAGGGATCACAGCAGTAACCTCTGAGACTTTAAGGATACAGGCAAGTCTTGTTGGGTCTCTGCCATCCTGTAACCACTGAACTCCATCTTGGAGATGATCTGAAGAAAGTACTGGAAGGRACAGACCACTTTTCACCAGAGTATGTTCTCATAATCATGTCCTTATATCTGGACCTACCTGATTTACCCACGTAAGACAGAATGAGCTATTAGCAAAAGAAAAATCAGCACACCTACATCTGCTTAGTTTTAGTTTGGTCTTTGTTGTGCCCAAATCACATCTGCATTATAAAACTAATAAACCAAAAGTACAGTTTCAAATCTGTCACCTTGTTAGAACAAAACCTTATTCAAAGTGATTCCATGGTATATTTTTCAGTGTGAAACAGCAYGTAAAACTTTAAGCAACATTTTCTGTTTAAATGCAGACATACTTGGTTGCACCATCRTCATATGTTGCCATTAACACAATCGTTCCATCCTGGATGGACTTCAGAAATTCAATAAGCGGTGCCACATCTGAAAAGAAAGAGAACATAAAASGGTTTCATAACAAGCAACATTTAAATATCTGCTATGTCTTTCTGCAAAGACATTACTTTTAAGAATATTTGTAAGTGTACTTAGCATTTAGAAAAAGATGCTGACTGAGAAAAAGCTAAAATGCATCAGAGAAATCTTTTTTTTATAGAAAGACTTTAATCCATATCATATAAAGACATAACCACTAGTGAGAACTACTCTGGAGAACAAGTCTGATTAACCACACTGTTCCCTCCCACCTCTACTAATTGTGTTTTTTAAAGTTACACTAATTGTGTTTAAAAAAGTTACACTCTCCTCACAATTACAAAAATGAAGGTGAAGCACTCCCTTAACTACCACCTTAAATCACCACAAGAAATGGAGTATGGAGAAGAAGTGGAAAAAAATGCACATTTGTTGTTTCTCTCTGACCAGTGTAATTGCACCTACCTCCTCCCCACATGTCATAGAACTTAGTATCTATTAATTCTCCTGTTTTACCTGAAGGAAAAGAGAAAAATAAATATTTGATACCATCCAATACATCCAAAATTATTTTACAGATAACATGCCTGACTGCTCTTACACTCCTTCAAAGTGCTGCAGAAGACACTAGATAAATTAACTATGGTAGCATTTCTTATATGAAAAGKGCTCTTTCAACTGTGTAGTGGTTTGTGAAAAAGTGCAGGCAAAGACAAGAAGAAACAAGTGAGAGGATCCATGACAGTGTTGGAGGCCAGACTGGATGGAGCTTTAAGCAGCCTGSTCTAGTGCAAGGTGTCCCTGCTCATKGCAGTGGAGTTGGAACTGGGTGATTTTTAAGGTCCCTCCAAGCACAGACCATTCAAAGATTCTAGGCAAAATTCTGATTTTGCTTGAAGTGGAATCTAAAATAAGTGGAAACACCCACAGGCTCTAAAACCAATACAGAGTATTCTGTTCGTGTATCTGCCTTTTTAAACAGTTGGTTTTGCAAAAACAGATTGTCCAGCTATAGGCTGCTTTTTGTGCCACATAGGAAGCCAGAAAGATTAAAATTACACTGCATGTTTTGCTATAGACTGGAAATTGTTAGTAGATTTCCACATCCATAATAAATAAGAAAAAGTGGACAATGAGTATATTTCATTACCTTTTTGTTATGCATTCTATAAAGGAGTATTTGATGAAAGGTGGACTTTTTTAATATATACATTCATTTAAAGTTTGGAAGACAGAAAGACTGGAGCTATAAAATACAAAGATATGTATTTTGATTTTGAACAAATTGAGACAATTTAGGAAAGCAACACAGGACTAGGAAGTATTGTTCAAGTCATGCTTTAGAYGTAAATCTGAGTACAATCCACAAATAACAGAAATTTATATTGCAGCAGAATGACAAAGTGCTATCTCAGTGCTACAAAGGAATCRTTTCCTACACATTAAAAACAAACATGCCCATTCTGACATTCARTCCAGCTTTCAAAGTAACATACAGTTAAATTTGTTTGGTCTTAATGAGAATTATGAACCCTGAACACAATTACCTAACAGGATGTTTTTAGGGGCAAGATCTAGAGACCAAATATATTGATTCAAGCAGAGAAATAATGAGCTGGTTCTTCTGTACAAACTCCAATGAAACTGTTACAGAAGTTTCACTGAAAACATAGCAACAGAAGAATACAGTCTACAGTTTAATTAGGGGTGGCAAGACACAAGATGAAAAGAAGCAGCCTGCATCTCATGTCTTTTTCCATTTTTTTGTCCATTAGGACTTTATGTGATGTATAACAAGAAAATCACCACAGCACTCCACATTACTATTTTTACAACTCATTTTCAGCAACAAAGATGCAGTGTTTCTACTTTGTAACAACGAAGTGTCTGTTCCAATATCTCACATTATCTCAGCATAAATAAGCTGAACACTTCCTTTTCTCCTTCTGTTTGCCTTTCACCACTCCATAGTATATCACCTTAWATTTCAAAATCAATTTGAAAATTAAGACAATCTGCCCACTTAAARTATCACTTACCATTGACCAAGGCCACGTTTATTCCTCTGCCAACATTATTCTTAACTCCACTCATTAAACTGAAACAAAATAAATATTTTTAACAGGGCAATCTTCTGATGTGAAGTATTTCTGGTTTTCAAACAAGATCAAATTCTAGGAGATACACAGTTAAAAGATCACATGTTCATAAGTACTTAAATGAAGCAAAATCTCCTTGAACTAATCCGTGTTCTTAAAGCACCACTGAATTAAGAATAATACACCAAATATCCCCAGTTGTATTGATTTAATTTGCTTAATCATCTTGGTTTCAAAGTATGCCTGTATATTAAAATGCCACAAAAAATAAAGTGTTATTGAAGTAGCTATTAATGTATAAAAAARTAACCAAAAATTAATTTGCAGAGCTCAGCAGAGTCACAGAACCAAATTCCAAGATTTTTCGTAAGCACACAATGAACAAAAATGTGTTAAYGAGTTTAAAAGCTAACCGAACAGAAGCATTTAAAACTCACAATAAGAAACAAGAAAGGCAAAGCACTCATACATAAAACRTGAAATCTAACTGCAAGAAAAATAGTTACTACACTGATGGGACTTCAAGCAAAAGCTGCATAGAATCTTGGAGTACAATCACACATCCCAAAGAAAGTCACCATCGATGACAGTAATTTATTGACCAAACTCAGAGGGGCAAAGGGGCTGAAGAGTGTCACTGTGAAATGGAAGCCCTTCAGAGCACTACAGAAGAGGTAGCAGGAATGTTAAGATTTAGGTAGGATGYTGTGCTGCCTTAGACCATGGTAGCTGTACCACTCCAGGAAGCTTCCAGACCTCCTCATCCCAGCTCACTGGCACTATGTGAGGAACTCTGTTCTGCCTTCAGGCCTCAAATATTCCAGCATTAACATTTTGAAGTTAGGATTAAAAGTAACATAAATGGGACAAATAGAAGTAAAGTTTAGAATAATTACATAATTTAAGATAATGAAGAAGCCTTCAGGTGAGATTAAAGAAAGCATGTCAGCAAAAGCATATAGGTGCACGTGTCCTTAGTTACAAACACACTCTAACAGATGCTTTAATTCCATCTTGATCAGGATTTCTTTAACCTCTCTAGCTGTTTCTAGGAAGGGGCTGCACATGTGTATAATCCTRTTATATTCAGAACTTTTTTCACATTTCTTCTGCAGCAATATGATTTTCAGGTCATGTGTGAACACCCATTCTAAGCAACACATCCTTACACAGCTTCCATGTCAGCTTTCTCAAGCCAACTTCTTACTGATAGGCTACAAACAAGGAATGGTCTATTATATAAATATGTAAAAAAGCTTCCTCTCTGGTGCAATCTTCCACACTCAGGATGAAGACAGAAGCCAAAATTTAGAGGAAAAACTGAATTATGCCAGAGTCAAACTGAACAGGGAAGTATCAGAAACAGACTCAGTATTCAGAAAGGCTGTGGAAGCCTACCAGATAATGGTAACATCTGGCACAGTGAATTTTAAAATGTCTTAAAGAATGACTAATCAGCGATGAAAGTGTTCTGTTAGTTCCTTTAAGTTACACTACCTGCCCAAAATTCTGATTTTAAATTAAAACCCTAATTCAGAAACTTCTGAARGAAAATACTTGAAATTTTCTGCTGAAATGCAGAATTAATTTCTGGTTAGTAGGGAACTCTAGAAGTATTTTAGCCACTGGAAGATCGTGTCTCCTCTGATCATATGATACCCATGTCATGTCTGAGCATCCATTCTAAGCAAGAGAAACATATGGCAAATAAAGACTGGAACACAAATGAATAAAGGCAATGAAGTTCTGAACACACTCCTTTCCTTCTGCAAAATTCAGTGGACATTTCATTTACCAAAAAGGGATAAGAACTGCCTTTTAGTTTATATATAAAATTCTCTGTAAATAAGTACCAGTCCAAAAATATACTGAGGTGACTAGACACTGAAATGCATAAAGTTATAACAGATTCAGATAATAAAAGCTGCAACTATGAATACAAGAATTACTGGTCAGTAAAGGAATGTAGTACATTCTGCTACTGGGTTACTGTGGCACAATCATGGAAATGGCTTCTTAACAGGGAAAGTACAACTGCATGGAGAAGTTGTTGGTAAAGAAGTTTCTAAAATGCTCATGGTGTAGCAACTACGATATTTAATATTTTGTTGATAAGTCCAACATGTTTTTTCTAATTCAGATTATGGCCTCCCAATATAAAACAAGGCTGTAACTGAATTTGTACACAACAGAAATCCTGTTTCACATTAAAGTATCTATATAATTAAAAGGAAAATTGAGAAATTACATGTATTCTGAATTGTACCAGCATCTTTAGTSCTTTCATAAGCCAAGTGCCATTTCTACATTTAATATATAGAAAGAAACTCTACTCTGCAAATACCATTTACAAATTACAAAARCTTGTTCCTGCTGTCCTGTCTTGGAAGTATGAAGAACACAAAGTAATCAGAAAAAAAACAATCTTTTTGCAAATGTGAGTTCAGAAAACACCTCTAAGAAAGAGCTACTTGAGAGGAAGTAAGCTTTTTCTGAGCTCTGATATATTACTTTATACACTTGAAACAGTTTGTGCATTATCACAAACACAACAGGCTGCAATGCAAGAGCTTCTCACAGGAGGGCAGYCCTTCATCAGCTTTAGAATTCTTCCAAGAATTTCAGAGCTTTTGAAAGAGAAATAAAATCTCTTATGAGCAAAGCACGAGATCATATAAAATAAATCAAATTTTAGGGTGGACATTTAAACAGACATGACCAGTCCCTCTCTGAAGGAATTCAGAAAGATGTTTGCCAAGGAAAGTTGGACTTTAGAATCCAACAGCTGTGCACCAAAGTGCCTGTTACTGCTAACAGAATAGAGACTTTTCCCAGCAACTACTTTCTTTTCATCTCTTTCTTTAGCAAGATATCTAGTAGAGGATTTTCTTTTTTCTTTTTCCTTGGAGGGAAATAACAAAACTCTTTTTAGTTAACCAGTCAGCAAGACATTAAAACATTTTAAAAAAGAGTCAAAATCCAAAACAAAACAACCTTACAATCCTGAAACTATACTTGCATTTCCACAACTTTTAATCATTGAATCAGCTTAAGTCTTCACAGATTTTAAGCTTCCTATATTAAGCAACCAGAATGAGACATTGGCATGTTTTGTAACACCAACAGGAATTCCATGCTGAGAGATTAGATAAGCCTGTCCAAGGTCACCAAGCAAGTCACCAAGAATTGAAAGCAGAAGCAGCAGCAGAATTGAAAGCAAAAGCAGCAGCTCATGGTCCATAGGTGCCAAGGTGAGTTCCTGCTGAGCAGGTGCTCCCTGAGTACACCTGGATGCTCTGCTGCAAACTGACCCACACACAAGTGAGCAAGCCTGAACTAAGCCAGCCTTACAGAGGAATGCTAGAGTTAGTGCTAGAAGTGGTCTTCTCTTTAAGATCATTTGAGATTAGTCTTACAGTTACGTTAGAGAGTAAAGTGATGGAAAATGCTACCATTTTTTCCCTTATACAGGAACAATCCTATTTACTTTTACATGGGGTTCTGTTGTTCACAGAGAAGTTGCCATTGACCCTAGAACTCATTAGCACCAGCCGCTGCATGTGCTATCTGTGCTAATTTAGGGTAAGCTGAGAGACAGCAAAACTGGAATAGTCTAAATGCAAGGGAAAGGCATTAAGCATGACTGATGTTAAAAAACATCCCAACAACACTAACATTATGTCTTTCCTGTCACCTGCAAAATCAAGTGAATAGATTATGTTATAGGAAGCTGCACACTCTGGGTGACAATGAGCAGGAACAACCTAAGAGGAAAAACATAGTCTAAAAATAAATATTAATATTCCCATTATGGGGATTATTCAAAAGTACTCTGTTAAATACTCTACACACAGTATTGTTGATAATACTGTGTCAAAAGTATTGTTATTAAAAAGAGGACTTAAAACCAAACTGTGTCTGTAGCAGTTCTTCTCCTCATTTTACAATTATTTTAAGTTTACTAACTTACCATCTGCACATTTAAATAACTACTGATCATTAAAATGCTATTTTTCCCTTTTGAAGTCAACCTTTGAAGAGAAGTAGAAAATATGTTCTGACATTGGTACTAAGGAAAAACAGTTTAAAAGATTACTTGAAAAAGACAATACAATTATTCACTGAATTACTATCAGAGGCACAAAGACAAGTTACTTAGAGACAAATGTGCATCTGGCTTGACTAAGGCCAACCCCTCAGTCTGTAAACCTGAAACTAAGTGCAAGCTATCTTGCTTCTATTAAACTAACAAAACACTTCTGAATTTACTGCAGAGCATTAAGTGTGCTTCATCAGATGAAAGSTTGTAATGAAATGTGACTTTTTCATGAAGTCAAACTGTTTGCAAAAAAAAAAAAACCCTAATTTAAAGTGCTGATTTTGTGTGCAAAGTGATCTAAGACAGTATTTCAAAGAGATGTTTAGRGACATTTTTGAAAGAGACATTTTTAGGTGAAAATACTTACACATTATCCTCTACACAAATTTTAGGTCCAACTACATTCGCTGCTCCACTTGACATTTTGAATGCAAAATGTTTTTCAGGACAAGCTTTAGAGATCCCACACTTGTATCTTGGAGGTTTTGTGGCTTTCAAAAGGAAATAAAACAAGACTTTAGAGAGAAAACCACAGGTAGGCTAACAGACAAGTATCAGTTACTTTTCTAAAGGAATTAATGGAAAAGAGCAAACACAAACAGTATCACATCTGTAGTTACATAGCAGCTTAAAATAATCTAAGTTCCTGAAGCACCTCATTATTCCAACTTCTTGTTGCCACCCTGCTGTTTGCTCTGGTGCTGTCATCAAAAGCCACAAGCCAAAACTACAAAATAGATTTTACCAGAAATTTAGGAAAATCAGGAGAAGAGGAAAATTAGTTTCTGATTGCATTTCGAGTGTAATTGAGGCTTTCTTAACTATGAAAATTCATCAGTCTTTCTGTTATTAGCAAAAGCAAGTCACAGCAGTAATATATGCGTATGAATACTCACAGCGTGCAGCTGCATCCAATGCTGATCTAGCTAAAATGAAAARAGAAAGTTTTACAAGATGTTACTATTAAAGTGTCATCTGCTATATAATAGACCATAAACGTAAAATCTTTCTGTAGTCCTATTAAAACAAGCTAGTTTAAATGAAGTATCAAATACACCTGGATATTACGCTCCAATAAAAAAGAACTTCTATACAGTRGAAGAACAAATGTGATCAGGAATCCCATTCAGAAGCACTGCCTAATTTATGACTCTCTGAGAGTCATGGAGTCAAAAACCCATGGAGATCCAAAACCTCCAAAAATTGATGGAGTTCTGGGCATTAAAGTGAAATAAATTCCCTATTTACAGCTTCATGAGGAAGGGGCTCCTTTCAATGATCACTGGAAGCCTGCAACTCAGGTGTATTTCAACCCAACGATTTAGGATTCCCTTTCTTGGGACACGAAGAGACACAAGTGCCCCCACCACCCTGAATGAGGTGTCTGAATGACAACTCTGTCAATTCAATGATTATTAAAGATGTCTCTGATGACTGCTTCAGGTGGCAGGTCACACTGCAGTAATCCAGAGTTAAAGAACACAAACTCTACCCATGTACCTAAAATTGGGGTTCTTTTGGTAATTAAAAACACCTTGAAAGATAATTCTGGTTGAAAATAGACTCTGAATTTTGAGATACCTCAGCTGCTAGTCCTTCTCTGTGTGGAACCTGGGCACATCAGAAATGTTTTGATTACTGCACMTTCAACTTAACATGGTAGTGTACCTATGCAAGAAAAAAAGCCCACCCAAAACAAATTCTGAATCTCTTTAGTAGTAGTGAGGCAGAGCAGAGTTTTCCAGAAACATGGTTCAAGTYGCCTAATTTACAACACTACACTAAGAATGCAAGTTCCAGTAAACATAAAAAAGCAGGTTAGAATTAAGCATCCTTGGCAGACAAATGAATAAAACTGATTAAGAGAATAGGTTAAATACTTCACCCAGAAAATAATTTAATCATGCACATTATATATAAAAAAATAACAGGTATACATACTAAAGATAAACACAGAATCCTTGAATTGAAGCGCCTAAGGCAAAACGAATATGATATTCTTGATAAAGGCTCAAGTAAATATTAACAGATGTCCAAAGAAAACAAAGGCATCACTTACCAAATATGTGTCCTAAGTTTGCATCCATTTTTATTTCAAACACTTGAGATATGACATAAAATGTCAATAAAAATATTGCTATGACTACTACCAACTTTGCAGCACCTGTTAAGAAACAGAAAAATGTTTAAAAAAAATCTGCAAATGTTAATATTAGTTTACCAAAATTAGCAACATGAGAAATGTGTATCAGATTACATTATGGGGAACTCAGGAATAGGATGATCTCTATGAACTTACTAAACAGAATAAATCCAAAAAAAACATTTATATTATAATGTAGGAYGTAACTGCACCAATCCCACAGAGATTAACCTTCTGGTCCTAACTTTCTCTAYCTTTGTGCTTGTCTGACACCAYAGTACACCAAYTAAGCTCAGSAGCCAGGAGAAACCAGACTTTTCCATGAAAATCCAGTTCAACCAAATGAACTAAGATGATCTACCTGGCAGTGCAAAGGCAAAATTCCCACCCTCCCCATTCCACTTCCCTGTTCTTAGCCATGAGTACCTGGTTCCTCACTGTTCATAAAGACTCCGTTTCCCCCACCCTCAAATTAAGCTACTTCTGCTTTAATGTATGGCCCAGGCTGAGTGATTAGGGATCTGTTTATGTACTGCAGCTTGGCTGCTATGGTCAGTCATCTCTGAGTATTAAATTGAAAACAAAAAAAAATGCCAAAACAACCACCAACAAAAAAGCCCGAACTGCCAGCCAACCAGAAACAAGCATCCTCATCTACTTTTCAAGAAATTGAAATTAATGATCTTCAAAAAGCAAGTTTGATGACTCAGAGGCTATTTTAAAATACGTAAGAAAAAGCAGTACCTCCCCCTCCCCCTTTTAATATACTGAAATCTCAGGTAGCTTGAAGTTTTACGAGCCTAAGTTCCTCCAGTGCTGAGTGGCCAATCTACGTCCTGGGAGAAGAGCTGCAAGCACACAGCCACAGCAGCTCACATCTGAAATGGAAATGTAAGTGATACTGCCATGAACCTCACCATATTTTAGCATAATCTGCAATACATTTTCAGAGAACAGTCCTCACTTAACTTCTTGTAAAATACTGACTGAGAGTAGATGTTAGGTGAGGAGGCATCTGATCAACACCTTGCCTTCCTATCTCACTGCAGTACGTCAAACTGGTTGGAAGAATCAACCTTAAAGCATGCTKCTTTTTCTCAGATTGCCAGCTAAATAAATCCTTTAGAAAAAAACAAACTCATATACTCCTGCAGATCTCAGACTGCTGCTGTGATGGGCTGTTCAGAAAATCTTAAAATAGACAGATTACTCAGCCTTCAAGAAGGATGAGAGATGCTAATCAATCCTCCCAAAAGGCTAAAAAAAGATAAGGGGATAGAAAAAGAAAATAAAGATGAAGGAAGATACAAAGGCTTTTTGCTTGTAGTTTGGTATTTTTTTGTGTGTGAGCACATATATACTGTGATGTAAGATAACAGGTGCAAACYTAATTTGAAAATATTATGCTGCAACTCCAAAGAGCACTGCACTCGAAAGGAAGGGAACCATGTGTAAGCACTGGGGAAAAATGATCTGAACATATGTTAAGAACAGGGGAAAAGGTTTTCCAAGCAAYACTGCTTTAAACCAGGAGACAGTACCAGATTTTGGAATGTGTCACCTAGCAAGTGGCACTTGGWGACCATGTTGCTTCAGTACATAGAATGTGAGAAGAACTCAGTCTGAGAGCTAACCATCCCCTCCACTCTAGATCCTGAGCTTTCCAACTGAACTCCAAGTGCTCCCTTCAAACAAAGAATAAGAAATCTCCTAGAAGGATCTTTAAGCACTTGAACCAAAACTGGCATGTTTGCTACAAATGAAACATTATACAGGAACTGCTGCATGTTCTTTGTGGGTTTATTTTTTTTTTTAGCCAAAAAAACATTAAATGGAAGGGAAAAAAATTGTAAAACATGTTTGGGAAGTAATTTTCCAGGTGAATCGGGCATCTAAAAATTGAAGAATTTTCAAGTTATCAGATTTACTTTAGCAGGAGTYATCAGATTTACTTTAGCAGGTTGCCCCCAGTTTTACACATTGTGGTTACTAAAGCAAATTTCAGAGTAGTGACAAAAATCTACTAATTTCATGCAATAACAAGGTCTTGGAAAAGGTGTCATCTTCTCCCAGAAGAGGCAACAAGTTTCTTTTGTAAAATAACACTACAAATATTGATAAAAGTGCAATGCACCAGAAACCCAAAACTGTTCCACTGCCACACAGGTTATTCTACTGTGACAAAATAGCTACATTTTCTTTTAATGTTATATTGGCAAAKATCTTATTTTTACAACTACTATACCTTCTGTCAAATAGACTTGGTTTCTCAAAGCCTATACTACAGTAATTTGCCTCTATGAAAAGGCTTTTATAGTTTTCAAACTCCCAGCAACCATTCRGAAAGTTTCAGACACTTAAAACCGCACACAGCAATTTTAGTCAGAGTGAGGCAGGGAAGAAATGGCTTAAGAGAACCATTGGCTATTTCCTTATTCCTTCATCATTTTAGAGAAATAGCAGCCAAAATATGCCAAGCCACAGCACCTTAAGCAGTCACTGCAGATCAGCTGCAGCATTTTAACAAGATGRCTGCTCTTCAACCAGCCCAAATTCCACAATTAGTTCCATTAAATATCAACAAAACAGAACAGCAACTCCTGTTATGCTAGTTAAGTGAAGCRTACCCTGACAAAGTTTGATGAGGATACCAAACTGAGCGAGGAAGTGGGCACMGCTAAAGGGAGAGCCAACCTGCAGGAACACCTGGATAGGCTGGAAAAGTGGGCTAACACTAATAGTGAAGTTCAACAAGAACAAGTGTAAGGTATTCCACCACAGAAATCATAATCCAGGAGTAAAGAACAGACTGGAATCCACCAGCTGGGGAGCAGCTCCTTGGAAAGGAACCAGAGGATCCTGATGGACAACAAGCTCAATACAAATGGAAATGTGTGGGCAAAGAAGCCAATGGGATGATGGGCTGCATTAGCAAGGGCATCACCAAAGAGAGATAAAGTCATTATTCCTCTCTGCACAGGCCACACCTGTTATAGTGCCTTCAGTTTCAGACCCTGCTATTAAAAAAAAAAAAAAAAAAGACAGAGACATGGACAGTGTAGTGAGAGTCCAACACAAAGATGCTCAAAGGACTGGGAAGATGAGGAAAGGCTGAGACTGATGGGTTTGTTCAGCCTTGAGAAAAGACTCACAGGAGAACTTATTACCATGTTCCAGTATTTCAAGAGTTCCAGTRTTTCAAGACTTCCTTTTTGCAAGGAGTCTCCATCACACAGAAAACAAGAAGGGTAATGGGTACAAGGTTTTCTGGGGAAGATTCCAATTAGACACAGAAGGACTGTTTTTCAYAATGAGAACAATCAGACATTGAAATAATCTCTTCAGGAAAGTGGTGGAGTTCCCAACATTGGACATTTTAAAGATTTGGCTGGACAGAGTGCTGGGCCATTGTGGAAAGATGGCCAGGGGTCAAACTAGAGGAAGTTACAGCAGTATGAAAATTACAGACCAAAATACAGCTGCTAGATGGAATGCTGTGAGCATGCTCAAAACCTATTCCACAATGACTCACTCCACACACAATCTGCAACCTCAAGCACATGCTTAGGGGGATGAAACAGAGGGTGGAACAGAGTGGAAAYGCCTTGGCCGGGCTCTGTTGAAACCAGATGGTACTCTGTAGGTGACAAACCTGCACAGCACCTCTCAACCAAGGGAGACAGGAGCAGGTATCCAGCTCCTGAACCAGGAACTGTGATGAAATTGCTCTCCTGAGATWGTTCATTGTAATTAGTTAATAGTAACTTGATTGTTAATATTAACTCACAACATCATCCCAAAGTTACCTGCCTCCAAGGTACGACAACTTCTCATTGAGCATGCACTCTTTATTTTATTGACTGTATCTTTAATAGTAAAGTAAGAGAATTTTACATCAATGAGTAACAAAAGTATGCATTACTAGAGTCACTCAAGATCCACCTAAATGAAAAGGGAATTCACTGAAGGGTCCCCATAACAGGACAATGACAGACTAGTCAGGCACAAAGGTCTCCGCTTTCCTGGGGAAACTGATCAAACACTGAAGATTTGAGGAAATCTCCACTTTTCATGTAACAACTATCTTATCTAGACTGTGCTTCCATCAAGAAAGGTCAGACCAGATGATTCTTTAGATCCCTTTTAACCTGGTATTCTATGACTTTTAAACCTTATTGCCACAACTTGTTAATGTTGTCTATAGCACTTGTTTCACAAATGACCAAAATCTGATTTTACTAAGTGTACTTACCTGCTATTCTCATGTTTAGTCTTCAGGCAGCTAATGACACTATTGCATTAAAGCAGCCACCTATGGGAAAAAAAAMMAAAAMMAAAAAACAAACAAACCAAAAATTAAAAACCACTTCACTGTAATTACAGCCAAAAAAGCACTTTTGTGATGAGTAAAAAACCCACAGATTTTCTAGTCAATAAAATTAAYGATGATTGCTCTGGATACCTATTTATTAATGCTCACATCTAAGGCTTTAGATGGATTTCTGATGCCTTGCTTTCATTTGTTTCTCCAMGAAACAAGTCTTCTGAAAAAGCATTAATGTCATCAAATTCACTACAAATTCAGTTTAACTTCCAATCAATCCCTTAATCTGTGACCTAACTACTTACCAGTGTTCTATCTAAGCAGACTTCAGTTTCCTAAGGCTGTATGGTAAAAGTCAAGAACTCCACCTSCACTCATTCAAAGCCCTACCAACTTCTGTGTGCAAGTTGTTATTTAGCAACATAGMATAGCAAACTATGCTTTGGAGAGAAAAGATATAAGCATTCTGGCCTTTAGGATACAACATAAACTACATTAAATGGAACTGAAAGAATGTCAACACCTTAATCTATGCATTACAGAAACATAACAGATGACAGATAAAAGTGACAGATTGTCATTCATAGGTACAGCCAGAGGAATAACATGATGGTCAGTGATTACAGAAGTACCATCCCTAGAATAAACTGAAACCCATTCTAAGCTAACACCACCTAAGCATCCACAAACTTCTCGATAACAGCAYGTCACCACAGAGACTCAAACTGGGCCACAAACTCCACAGGATCTGCACAAAAGCTTCCACCTCCTCCTGCTCAAGCAATGCAGTATCCAGGGGCCACACCAAATTTTTTGCCCTCTACCTGCAGAGCCAGGGYTGCTCCTGGCTCTGCACCACTGTCATGCTCAATCCCAGTGGGCCCAGGTTGCACTGGGCCTGGACACGTGGCTCAATTTTCCATCGATTCAGGGGCCTTTTTGAACCATCTACACAAAAGCCACATTTGAAAACATGTAACCAGCTATCACTCTAATCCAAGTAGCTGTCCCAGACCCCCATCACGAAAGTTACAGCATCCCTAACTCTCTGCAGTCCTACRCTATGATTTTGAAAACCATCAAAAACATTATCTTTAGAAACTATTAGAAAAACTGCTGTTATTAAAAATACAAATCATTTGGAGACAACCAAAACACCCACACAATTCTCATGGTCGATGCCAGGGAGAAAAAACTGGTATTATGCATGTGACCTTTTGCCTTCACTTAGTTCACTATCTTCTATTTCAGTGTCCAGATCCTCTTTGCCATAGACTCAGTCATCTATCCCCTCAAGTTTACAAGAAAATGTTCAACAGAGAAATAAACAGGAAAAGAAATTGCAAACACAATTTTTTGTGTTTATATTTATTTGTACTCTACTGGAATTTGAAAATACTTATCACCAAAGTTTGAAGTAGACCAATGTTTTTGAGTGCTAATGTTGTACTGTAACAGAAATTTCACAGCATATTCGAGACCATAATATATCCATTTAGCTGTAGCCACACATTATATCCACATATAATAACTTCTTTCAGTGAATGCCTAGCATTTAACTGTCTTGTAGAATGGCAAAAAAGAATCTGTCAGGGCAGATAAACTCACTTTATTTCAACGCCTGTGAGCTGAATTATTCTAGGCTTCTTCCTCTCCACACACCCAGAAATATATCAATGTTAGAATAAACATGGTCTGTACTTTGAACAACTATAAGCCTGTTTTAAGTCTGCACTGAAAAAAAGAAGTTCCCTTTCTTGTTTTACTCTAAACAAAAACACATCATGAATTCAAAGCACGAATGCAAGTATATGAACAAAACCAGAAAGAAGAATCTAAGTAAAACAACCACATGATCTAACCTCAATTGCCTTTATCCCAACATCCCCTTTCACCCATCTCAGAGATCATTATTTGTTGGAATCAAAAAATATGAATATGCATTCTCTTTTAAGTCTGGAATGTTCTTTGCTTTAGAAAAAGGAAAAATGAGTACGCTATGCCTTAATTTGAAAGGAATTAAAAAATGTAGTGATTCTTTTTTTTAAACTACAGTATATTGAAAAATCATAGGATTTGATTTACAGAATAATACAGTAGTGCTACAGTACACACAAGTGTTGCACAGCACTTTCCAGCTGCAGGAAAAAAAAATTATGGATGTCAAGTTTTTTTCCTACACTGCATTATCTTAGATTTTTTTTTATGTATTTCAAGACCGAACAGGAATAAAACAGGACAAGCCACAAACCCTTATGAATGCTTATAGACCATTACTCCCYATCTTTGGTATTAGCCCTAGTAAGTGAAATTAGAGAACTGATTAGAAAATTGACTTGGAATTTTTAATAGTGTACATTTTAGGATCGTTTAAAATCAAACAAAGAACACAGGACCACAACTGAGCTTGCTCAGACACAGATGCACAAAACCAGTACCACAACATTYTTTTGGTTGCTTTAGAAATGGTCCAAACAACCCAAACACTGTTTTTCTCTTCTTTGATGCAAGATTCCATCAAGCAGAGGCAGCAGAATTAGAACCTTAGTATCTTCCTGACTTATGAATGTCAAGTAATACAAATAATCATTTATTACTACATCATTCTCTGTCAGGCAGTACAAAAGGCTCCCATGTATCATTTATTAGAGACTGAAGCAGAAGGTGCAGCCCATAGCAGGGTTGACAGGCAGTGTCCTGATGAATACAGCAGAACCCTACAGAGATGCAAAGGCCAACATCCCAAAACAGGCAACAGAAGTGAGTTGCAAAGTAAAATGGCTGGGTTAAGGGAAGCATTATGTGACTCAAACACAGATTTTCTTTTTCTTCAGACTGTTTTCTTAGCACAAACCTGAGGAAGTTTATCACTCAAGGTCTAGAAAGAAAGGCCAGCAGAAAAAAMCCAAAAATTCTCTCATGTGCAGCAGTGCCTTGAAATTAAAACTTATCCACAAAACAACCTGAACAAGAGAAGACAAGAAGTTACATGTTATAAATCCTTCTTAAACGCTGGCATGTCATTGTCCAGTTGCCTCCAGGAAAAGGTTATTTATTCTGG